GAACGACGTAATATTTCACGGAAGTGAAATACATATCCGAATATCTCTCTCATTTCAATAAAATACCTTTACGAGATCTTATGTCAAAGATATGAAATATTCAGAAACGTGTAATCGTTGATTTTCTAGAGAAAATAATAGGCAAAATACGTATACGTAAAAAATAATAGAAATTACATTTTATCAAAAAAACATTCTTAAAAGTAATATCTTTCAAGATCATAATTTTTATCATAGAAATCATTGAAGTAACGACTTCGTGAGTTTAATTCCAAATTAACACGGAAATTAATCAAGAGTAAATAACAGCCATGTGGACACAGGTTGTTGGAGTGTGAGAATTTATTTGTGAAAAAAATTTGCATATTTTTTTGTATTAATTTTATCCTTCGTGTACAGAAACACACAGTTAACACATATCACAACAACAACAACAACAACATGCGGTTGCACGACCAAGTCGCATAGCCTGATGTAATTCTCGAATTAAGTTCAACGTACACGTGGGAATCTACACGTCGGTGAATTCCCAAAAGTGCTGCTACGTGTAGTGAAGGAAACTGTGAAACATTCGGACCAGTTTATTTAGAAAGGATCGAATATATATATATGTGTGTGTATATTATATATTATATATATATATATATATGTATATACACGCTATTATTCAACTGCAACTGAGGGATGCATCTGGGAATTCCCTTGAACCGATTGAAATGGCGATGCGCGCGTGCGCATCCGCGAACTTATAATTTAACTTCTAAAATGTTCTCGCGTGTGCATCCGACATGTTAATTACTAATTTCCAATCCGTCTGTATATCCCACGTATGCTCGGGTGAAATGCGACGAGTTTATATCAATGCACTTGATTCTATCTGTAATTGAGTTTCGCGATTTTCCCCGAGCGCGTTCGGTCTAGCAGCGATTAAGAAATTCTACCGAGTTCCAACGATTGTATATCGCGTTTATTTCCTCGACGAGAGCACACATGCTTGCTTTCCAATTTTCGCTTATAATGAAATATTTCACTTATCGCGCGCGCGTGTGTTCCTGTATATTCATTATTCAAAACCACGGGGGGGACGACGCGCGGCTTTCAAAGAGAAAATTCGCGCGTTTGCGCTGCAATATTCCTCAATTTTCTGCCTGCAATATTAATCGTAATGAAAAAAACGACAAATTATCTGATATGTCAACGAATGTTACGCAAATGTCGATAATTTAGAAAAATTTGCGATATATATACCTATTTGTACACACATATCGCGTTTTTTTATTTTATTGATTCGATATATCAACGCGGAGAAATTTTCTGAGGAAGCGCGTATTTATTTCCTGTATAATTTTCACAGTGCTTCTCTGTAATTTTTCTTTAAACGTATGCATAATGCAAAATTATGCTTAAATTAGCGAAAGCTCTTAAGATTCTTTCGCGGAAAAATAATTAATTGAGTCGGATAAAGAGCAAAGAGATTTCTTTATTACCGCGTGCCGAAAAAAACCAAAAAAAAAAACAAAAACCAAAAAAAAATACGTTATTTTCATTCCGGCGCAGCTTAATCTCTTTATTGTCCGTTGATTTTTCTCTCTTTTTTTTTGCGGCTTGTACGTCTGGCATTGTGTTCGGTACCGTACATGATATATTCTCTTTTCAGCTTCCCGTGTGCTGCACGTACGTGTGTGTTTTACTCTTCCCCGTCGTCATTTCGTATCGCCCATTTACTTTTTGAAAGGAGAGAACATTTTTGAAAGCCCTCGCACGTTTATATAAAGATATGCACAAAATACTTTGATTTACGACCATGAATACAGAATATTTTTTATCGCCGTAGGTGGGTTATAAAAGATTGCCGAACGTCGCGGCGGCAGCCGCGTCATGGGGATTATGGGAAAATATTTGAATCTGACGCGATTCGGAATATATGTATGGAACATTGACATTCCCAGAAAGGGATTTAAATGCAAAATTATTCAAATTATTATCGATCGCGAATTACCCGTGATGAATTATTATTCCGTCGTCGTCCAACTATTATGTCAGACAAATGATTTGATATCTTGAATTTTGAAAAGATACTTCACGCGCGAGAAATAAGAAACTCGAACGGAATAAAATGAAAGGGCACATGTGCGCGCGCGCGCGCGCTTCAGTTAAAAGGTGCAATAATTCTAATCCTTTGAACGCGCGATGGTAATTTCCACCTTTTAGTCAATCTTAAAGTTTGTCACGCATGGCGAAACCGCCGCGATCTTTTAATTAAAGCGATTTATCTTTCGCTCGGAAAAGACGCTTCTGAAGTGCGCACAAAAGATAATACGTTAAAACGCTCAAAGCGATTGTGTTCCGCCGCGAAAGTGTATGAGTGCAGAGTAAAATATGTACTGGATGGGCCATAGCAAAATGCAAAACGGGCGTGCTTTGTTACCCGTATAATTGGGGGAACGGTAAACGCCCGTGCTTGCATTCAGAGCTCCGCGTTTAACGCTAAACGGCGGCCATTTGATTCTAAGTCTCGGTGGCATGATTGCAGGCAGAGAACCCCGAAGGCAAACAAAGGCTCATACCTAATCAGAGAGAGGAAGGTTTCGCTTTAGCACACGCGATGACAGGTATACACACCAGTCAGGGAAATGCCGGGAAAAATAACGTGCGCGCGCGCGCGCGTGTGTGTAAACATATAATAAATTATTATAATAAATTATGAAATATAATCATTTGAGCATTGTCGAATTAATACAAATTAGTGTAATATTTATCTTGTGTGCGAATTAATTCAAACGCAATATTTAACATTTCCACACATGTCGCAATATAATAAGTAGATATCTCATACATTTGGAAATTAACGCAAATACATGTCAATGTGTTATTGTTTATCACAGACGAAACTTTCTCCGCTGATAATACAATATTTAAGCGTGTGTGTAAATTTTGATTAACAACATTAATATCTATCTTCTTGTTTGTCGGGAGGAAAGTAAAAGCTAAAGTTACGTTTTGCCACACAATAACAAAAGCCTGTTCGTATTTTACAATTGAATTTCCGATTGCACAAAAAAAGGAAGAGAATAATTATCTTTGGTTTATACATACGGGAGCTTTCCGCGCGCGCGTTTATTTTCTTTTTCGCGAATTACCATATTCATGTCGACTGTTATTGATCCTTTTTGTTTTTATCTTCGGTTTTATTTCGCAATTAAATTCGCATTTCGTCGCGGAAAACACGCGGTGTCGTAAAGAATCGAATATAATTCGTGTCGATCCCATCGTCCCCGTTTAAATTTGCACGAGTGATATGAGAGCTGCTAACATCACCCGATGGGTTATATGGATTCTTGGAAAATATTTACATTATATAAATGCCGGAGCGGCATCTCTCTCTCTTTCTCTCTCCGACTGCCTGTTATCGTTGTGCATATTGCTCAACAGAAAATTCTTTATATATCAGAAAACTACATTTTCTTTTCCGAAGCGCACTCTCCCTTTGAAGATCCTTCGCGCGCGATCTCAAAGACGGTGGCGCGCCCGAGGCGTGGGCGCTCTTACCGAGCATAGGGATGAAGTTTCCAACGTTTGAGCACGTGTAAACATCCGGAAATCCGGTGTGCTCTATGCCAAGAATGCATGGTAACATTTCGCGCGGTCAACTTTTTTCATTAAACAAAGGACGAAAAAATTCTCGCTTCTCTCTGCAAATTACAAAGCGCGACGCTTCGTAAACACTTGCGTCACAGTGAGGAACAATCCGCGCCGGGGAAAATTGTCGGCTTGTATCACTTGAAAGAAGATGGATAAAGAAGTATATATAAGCCTTTCCAAAAATGTATGTAATAATGTCGCGAAATCGTAGAGAGAATTTTGCTTATGATATCGATACAGTTTTGAACAAAGTGTCAATATTTTTTACGAGAAAATATTTTAAGACTCCAAAGATTTCTCAATCCCTCAAAGTTTACTCGACATATCCGATTGTCCGGGAAAAATATTTTCAAAAATGTAAAGCGTTGGGAAAACTTTGGTGTGAATGTTGTATTTTTTAGAATACTAGCACAACACAAGCGCGCGCTACGCGCACGCTAATATTATCTTTATTTTCATGTGTTGCATCAGTGAACACAACCTGTCACCGCGATGACAGCTAATATATATATCTTATAAACTATGTGATATACATACGAGAGATGTCAAAAATAACGCATGAAAATCAAACTCAAAAAGTAGTGAGAGAGAGAAGTGGAAAAACAACACGTGACTAAAGTCAAGTGACAGGGAAAAGGGTAAAAAAAAGAATATTATATATATTATATATAATATTCTATATCTATATATAATACACACACATACGCATATATGTATGTGTATATATATATATATATACCGTAATCGTGACCGAAGTCAGTAACACCGCCGCGGTCGCGCGCCCGCGGTCAGTGACCCCCCCCCCCCCCCAAGGCCCCGTGGCCGAGGTCAGTGCTCCCGTCAAGGCCGCGCGACCGAGGTCAGTGCCCCGCCAAGGCCGCGCGGCCGAGGTCAGTGCCCCGCCAAGGCCGCGCGGCGGAGGTCAGTGACATTACTGTAGTATGTATATAATACATACAATATAATACAATATAAAGTATAATATTATAAATATATAATAAATTATATGTATAATATGCATTATTTAATGTTATATATAATATAAATTACAGTCACGTTATTTTCACTTGTTGTTTTTCTACTCTTTTTCATTATTTACTCTCTCGATCTTACCGATTTGATTCGACTCGATCAACCAACCAACTAATCGGCAACGCGGAAAAGAGGCAACTATAGATGCGATACAATCGGCTCCAAAACGCGCACTTCTCGGTCCAAATTCCCTTTTTTATATAGGATATACAAATTGTATATATAGATACGTAACCACTCACGCAGTATTTTCCACATTTTTTGCTAACACTCAGAGAGGTTTTTTCTCTCTCTTCTTCTGTCTAACGGTGTGTTTTTTGTTTCAGGAACGTATTTCATTCTGTACGACTTCATTGACTTCTTCGAGAAAGATCAGCCCAGTTTTTTAGAACGAGACAAGTTTCTCACCATCATCAACTCCATCTTTAAGAACATGTCAGAAATCGAGAAGCAAGCCATTATTTTCCAAGTAAGTAATTCTTGTCACGTGTATTTCTGTGATAGTTAAGACAAACACTGCGGGTTTTTTTCGCAAAAGTTCAACGTTTTTGTTTTTAATAAGTTCATCCAAAGTATTGTGAACTATTAGAACGCGTGGATTATATTTATTATTCCAAAAATTTACACACTGGCTATTTTGTAAATAAAAATACATATGTACGTGTTTTCCGGATTGTTATTCACGTGGGATTACTTCGTCCGTGAAATATCTATTTGGTTCTAAATACGGTTTCGCACTGTCATTCCATCAGTTTAAAATATTTCATGGATATGGAACATTTAACGAGTCTCTGTATCAAATTGAATGCAAGCTTCTAGAAAAAAACAGATAAAAATTTTCGGAAGTAAAAAGCATACATAAAAAAATGATTGTAACTCTTTGCATTAAATATATATATATATATATATATATATATATATATATGTATTATATACATATGTCACATTATTATCAGTTTAACAGATAGAAAACAAAAAATTAGAAAAAAAATCCATTAACTTTGCAACAAACACATTTTTGCAACTCTTCATCTGTTAATTAATGAGTTGCGCGTAAAAAAAGAGAGATGATGATCATTTAAATGTATAAAAATTTATATTATACGCGCGTATCTAAACAAACAGAGCGCACCTTAAAGTGTTAAAATTCGCGTTTGAATACTAGAAAGCAAGATCTCTCACGGGACAGAGATGGCGAGCAAATTACATACTTCACACAGAAATATGTACACATATGTATGTACGTATATATATGTGTGTCTAGCAGGCACACTGCGACCTATATTTTTTTCAAACTACCACTCAACGAGACCTCGCTATATTCATCGGTCTCGAGCATTCTTCTTGTTAGCTAACTTCAACTTGTAACTGTCGCTAAGTCGCTTCGGGGCTTCCTTTTTGCAAGAGAGAAGAACAAGCGAACCATATATCAGATGTCAATTTAACCTCTCTCCCGGTTCGCTGAAATAAGTACAATTTAACGTGCGCCTGTTACCTACATATATACACGCACGAATTGTATTAATCAATTGCAAAAAGTATTGATCGCATAGTTTATTGATCATCGACTTATAAAAAAATTGTTAGTTTTTACGTATCTCTGTAATATTCAAAAAAACAGTATTAAAAAACGAGGACATGCTCGTAAAATTTTCAAATAAATGGTAGAAAGACAGAACGAGCCAATATTATGGATAGATAGTGCAAAAATATAATCTTTCTTGTTAATTACACCAAATACGGCACCAAAATTTTAGATGAAAAATATTACCTCACTCAGCGAATTTTACTTACATTACCCCATGCCGTTATGTACATGACTTGTTCCAAGAGATACAGATCGATTTTAAAAACATCCACTTTGAAAATTTTGTGGAAGTCAAGAATCGATGATTGGATTTATAAATTAAAGCAGTTAGAGTTGTGTGAAAACTTCCCAGTATTATCAGGAAGATAAAGATTGTAACAAGAGGGAAAACGTTTTGTTTGAAATGTAAGGTTTTGTTTTTCAACTCGATTGAAAAGAATCGGCTCGGAAAAAATTCCAAGTTCGTTGAGTGGAGATTCGAACTCGGGACCTTCACATATTCGCAACTCTTTGCACTCAGACTGCGAGACCAATGAGCTGGTCTCGAAGTCAGATTTTATATTTAAAAATGGATCAAAGCACGCTCACTCAGAAAATAAAAATTAAACAAATGTTCTAAACAAACAAATTAAAATATAAATATTTTTATTAAGCTTACAAATTTAATACATTTATTTGTACTTTCAAGTTATATAAAATCGCGCTATGTTTTCCTTTATTATTTGCATAAGTGTTGTTCAAACTAGAGTTTGGATTATCGACTTACTGTCAGCTAGAAGATATTGCTGCAATAAAATAATACAAACGATTTAATAATACACACAATCCGTAATAACGCGTTGTGTATAAAGGAGCACGATCAAATAAACACAATATAACGTCGGTTTTTATTCCCAATATCGTTTGGTTCGCTCATTTACATACATGAAAACTTCACGATTGCGCGCGCGCGCGTTTTTTTAAGTGCACGCCGGTGTCAGTTTGTTTCACTAAAAGGAATCCGTCATGATTATATTATTAAACGTTACATTTCTCACTGCACTGCAGCGGATACGAATGGACGTAAAGTGAAAAACCGTTAATTGGAACGCCTACCTATGGCTGTTTCTTTTTCCACGGCTTTTTCCGTTCCCGTTTCCTTGGTTGTGCGCGCGCGCGCGCGATAATTTTTCGCAAACCGGAGACATTGTTTCGTGTAATCGCGATCATAAAACAGAACGGCAATTTTTTCTAATCAAAGAAAGTCCTCCCCCGCGCACTATTTGTCCGCGTTATAGCCGGTGTTAATTTACATTTGCTGTTTTGATTCGAGAGAAAGAGAGAGAAAGAGGAAACGTTCATCGATTCGTTAGCCTTCAACAGTCAATGAAACGACCGAACCGCAATTAAATTGCTATTCCCTCTTTTATCGTATCACAAGCGGGATTATTTCACATTAGAGAATGTTCGCGAAATCCGAAAACTATTTGCTCACATAGTTTGTTAAATTCACTTTCGCGCTTGATTCGCGTGTACCGATTCGCGCAAACCGATCCTTTCGCGCGTTACTTCTCCGTCATGAAGTTTAACATTTTTCAGTATTCACTCGTGTGCGTATGTGTTTTTACTCCGTTGAGTAATTGATTGCGCAAAAAAAAAAAAAAAAAAAAAAACTAGGATTATTACGCGCATGCCGTCTCACGAGCGGCAATATTTTGACAATGTAATCACCACTGTTTTACATTGTGTTCCGTGACGTCGTCGACGAAAATATTTGTTTCGCGGCGCGCGCATCGTGCAAGTTGCGCGTCTTGAGTGATTTATGAAATACCCATATGCAGTTTCCAGCAACGCCTACGTATATTTTACGGCATACGTCGTGTGCGTTATAACAGTTTGTTTCGCGGAGGCAAATGCGCGATCGTCGTGTGTAAAAGAAAACCAAAATAACGAGATACTCATCATATACATATGGTACACAATGTTGGAAAAACAAATTATTTGATGCGAATTTTCGAACTTGTTAACGCGATTATCGGAAGCCAATTAAATTGTCACGAAGTCACTTTTTATGCGCAAAAGGCGTTTGTTTCGAAATGTTACTCCGATATTTTTCTCTGATGCGCACACACGTGCGTGCAACGAACGACGACTAACGCGTATCACTTCATATTCACATAGAGAGTTTAATTCTTCCATGTTCTCACACATGGAACAAAAGAGAGATCGTATATTTTTTTTAAATACAGAAAGTAGATTTATATCCGGTTTTTTATTATATTGCTTATCGTCAAATCTAAATTTTATAGGAAACTATTTACAACTAATTAATTTTTGCGGGGTGAAAATTGCATCGGACGGCAAAAGTGCAATTATGAAATATTTATGTGTTTTATTTGCGCGGTACACGTAAAAAGTGCTTTTCCAATACTGCGAATAGCCCATTATTTCACTTACCAGAACATAGTGCTCGCTCGTTTCGATTCGCGTAATTACAATACAAATGCAATTCCTTGGTGGTGCATCTACCACGAAAAGATTGAATATATATGAATACTTTGTTATCACTTTTTTTTCACTTACGGAGATTATTCTGACAAAAATAAATATTATGAAATCCAACAGAGACGGTAGAAGAATTCCATTTTATTTTACGTCAGAAAGGATTAAAAAAAAAAAAAGGTATTTCAGTAACATTTGTATGAACATAATTTTTAAAATATAAATCCACATTTACATGAAAAAAAATGTAGATGTTTATTTATAAATTTTATACTGAGATGAAACAATTGTGAATTAATCGGTGACGAAATTACGTGACATTATTAAAGAGATATAATGTAGATAGTGTGTAAAATATTCAAACCGAATGCTCAAAAGTTAAGCCGGAGCGCAATCTTAATGAGCTCGTCTGCGAATAATTAATAGCGCGGATTCGACATAAAACTGTCTGAGAAATTGGTGAAGCACCGTAATTATGTCGTCAATTAAACATTTGCTTTACGACACGCAAACACACGTTCGATTTCTATTAAATATTCAGTTTGGATCAGGGAAATTGCGCAATTCGCCAATAACTTCGGGCGGGAAACCAGTTTTTTGGTCAACGACACTTCTCAGCAAAGAGAACGGAAAAAAAAATAAAATAAAAAACTAAAGATGATAAAACCGCTGCTGTCTTCATCACGCTTCCGCATAAATTCCGTGAAATAGGAGCTCGTACGATCGAAGAATCTACGACGAACGTGACACTTCCAACAGGTTTCTAGTGCGTAACACGCCAGCTATGGTCGCGGAGAAAATCGATATCGTTATGTACACGGTGTAATGTCACTTTTATCGAAGAAGAAAGGTGAGAGACAGAAAGAGAGAGAGAGAGAAAGAGAAAAAGTGAGAGAGAAAGAGAGCGCTGCATTTTCCTAATCGACCGCTAATTACTTTCCGATCAGCAGAACGGTACGTCAAAGTTGCTGTGTCAAGAGCTGTTTGATAGTTTCGCGTGAAACCTCGAGTTTCGTGTACATTTCATTAAATATCCGCGAATAACAAAGCGCACCGATGGGAATGTTTTTTTCGCTTAATTTATTGTTTATATTTATCCAGAAAAGGTCACCGAGAACTCGTGTCTCTGACAAATTCATTGCTAATTCGTTTGTTTGCGTGAGCAATACAAACGGAAATAAATTCGTAAAAGCGCGCGCTTTACTGCCTGTTCTGGAATGAGGGAGGGAGGGAGAGGGAAGAATAATCGACGATACAAAGTGATCCGACATAATCGTCGATGCCCCACTAATCTCTTTTCGGTTCAAGAGCTTGTATGTAAGCGTTGCACTCGAATAAAAAATTAAATTTATTTTCTAACGGTAATGGGATAGCGGAGGAGAGATAAAAGGGCGAAGTAAAAAAATGTGTATATTCATTAATGCGCAACGACGCAGAAAATACACGGAAAAAAATTTTTGCTGGAATGGAGCAAAGAGATTAGTTACTTTTTGCGGCTAGAAAGAAAAATTTGTTTAAGCCCATTGAACGCTTTGTTTTGCGAACAAAATGTTTTGTTTGACGAAAAGAAATGAAAAATTCAACAGGCTTAGTAAATTTTTTCTTGCTGGCTGTGTAATGGCAAAACTTCTTTTTTGTGTAGCACACCTCGTGTTTAATTAATGCACACGCAACACTTTTAACAGTACACCAAATTATTATCGTGATAAAACAATTAAAAACTTTTCTATTAATAATTTTTATTAACAGAAATAAAAATACATAGTAAAAATATGTAGTATTTATAAATTTTTAAAAAATATTTTTTTAAACATTTTCTTTGGAAGATGTTAAAAGTGATTCGTTTTATTTATAATTTAGTTGGAAAAGTTGGGAATGAAGAGCGCTTTTTATCTTTCTGAAGTAAAAGATGTCAAGTCGAATTCGCGTCGCGCGTAGGATTAAGATTTTCAACTTTAATTGGAGCAACGTCTAATCGGATTTGTCACGGATATCTGTTACAGTACACCGATTGGGATCGAATAAATGATGGCTATGAAAATCAAAAAGCAATAGCGGACATCGTCGGCGATTACTTCTTCATCTGCCCGTCCACACATTTCTCGCAAGTGTTTGCGGATCGCGGCATGAAGGTCTACTACTACTTTTTCACGCAGGTGAGCTGATTATTTTCTTGCAGCGCGCATCAAAGGATCCTCGTCAACTTGACCTCATCTAATCCCGATCCTCGGAAAAATGTTTTTATAATTTATTTTCGTGTGCAATATATACTTCATTAAAATATTTGTACATCAAATGGGTAAGCCCAAGTAAGTGTATCGAATTTTAATGAGTCGTATCTCGACGAAATAATCAACGTCCTCAACGTCATTATCTCGGGCGCAATGTATGTTCGACGCAGCCGTGATTGTGCGCCGAGCTTGTGTGGCGCTATTTTCTCCCAAAGTAATCTGGAAGAACAGAGTTTACAAGAGCGGGAAATTACCGCAAAAGTATTATGTAAATTGGATTCTCTGTGAGCCTCTTGCATAACGCAGTAAGAAGATTTTGCGATGGAAATAGCTCGGGGAGAGCAGAACGGGAATACAAAAAAAAAAAAAAAAAAAAAAAAGAAAAAAGCCGAGGAAACGCCTCGAAAAATTAGGATGACGAGTGAGGGATAAAATTCCGAAATGTATTGCGGAAACGCAACACCAGTCTTGTTTGCACGTGAAAACAAAAAACGTGCTATTAATATTTTCTGATAACACGACACGTTCATTCCGCGAGACGTTAATCGATCATCGGCATTCTGTTGTTACCGCGATAAAGTGCGGCAGTGAATATTTGGGATAACGAGTAATAACCAGATATCTCTATCACATTATCAATCACGCGCGAATCACGTTCGTGTGATTTATTTCTCGCAACGCGCTCGCTCCCGAATTTGCGCGCGGTGTAATCACAACGCGGAAGACAATACGGCCTTCAACAGTGTCATCGGGCTGTAATGTTTAGATCCAGCGCGCGGGCACAAATTGCGTACATTCATGACGATGTACAATTACTGCTCTAACCCACCCTCTGCGTGACCTCCGAAATTATTTGAAATGCAAACTCTCTCTCGCACGCGGCGCGAAACGTTGTACGTAGTGTCGCGTTAGCCGCAGTCCGTGCTGTCATGTTTCGGCTCTTCATCGCTGTTATCGCATCACGAAATCTCTTTCCCCTTCCCCTTCACCCTCCGCGAAAACTTGTTGATTGTTAGGTATAGGAATTAGCGCAAATGTAATTTGGAATCGCGTAACGGCGATAAGACGCCGGTTTCAACTACGAACTTTTTATTAGGCCAAATCTAATTGACTATCAGATTGAATTTTAATTGTCTAGTGTATAGATCCTTTTTGATCGGATTTCTCGGTACCTTTTTCTCTCGCGTCGAAACGAAAATGAACCGTGACGAATTGCAGACAATGTCGAGTCGATGAAAATCGACGCTTCGTCAGTAAATCCAAGTGACAAGTGCGCCGTGGCCGCGTGCCAAAACGCAGCTTAACCGCAAAACGCAAGAGGAAAATCCGAGCTTTTCACTATTTTTTTTCTCCCACATCCTTTCTCTTTAAACGTCTCAATTCAAACTACACGTACTTCCGTTATTGAATTCCGCGCGATAGCTGATATCGCGACGCGTTCAAGTTGAAAAGTGGCTCCATACGTCTATCTCGAATCCGTGAGCCTCGGGTCGGAGTGGATTACAAACTCGAACTTGATCTTTTCAAGATCAGCGGGAAAAGGTTTTTAGATTAGTTTATTATGAATGATTTTTAGTTCGCTTCCGCGAACTATCTCTCTTAATAATTTCGAACGGTTCTATAAACCGAGCATTTACTACATACACGTATATACAAGACGCGTCGTGCTCATTATTTAATTATGTTTCCTGAATTATGTTTCATTATTTAATTATGTTTCGCGCTTTATCCCGCCTTTAATAAACGCAATCACGTTTGCGACGCGTGAGACCGTCCATTGAAAATTATTTAAACCCGGGCAATTTATTTCTGCGGCTGACACCCTCGCGTGAGCAAACCGCGGAGAAAAGAACGACGGAGAAAGAGAAATGAACCGGACGGACAGGCAAAACGAAATTGCGCTCGTAGAATTCAAGAAACGCGAAATCTACAAATAACGACGATGACGATTTCTTTTGCTTTATTTAACATCGTCCATTTTTTTCCCCCCTCTCGATTCTTTTTTGTTTTTCGCTCGTTTAGTCGAGGGGGAGGCAATGATGAAGAAGGTTCGTAATTTTTTGTCGCCTCTTTCCCTCCCTTTCCCCCTCCGACAGTTTAGCGCACCTGTGAGTTTCCGCTCGCGGAAAATCAATTTCAAGAGAGAATAACCGTGCATGTGAGTCAATGATTTATCGTGAGCGCGCGTATACGCATTTACGTACTTTCGCCCCGGAGAGTGTTCTGTGAGTCGAATCGAGTAGAAATAAATAAATATACATGTACGTATACACACATATCCCATATATCGTGCAGCGAACCGTGTAAAGCATTCGATCGAGCATCGAATAATAGATAAACGTTTCGTCGAGGCACGTTCGCGTCGTTTTTGCAACTCGGCCCTTCTTACTTTCGTATTCCGGCAATCGCGAGGCGCGATTCAATTTGGCGATAACATGATCTCGGCAGGTATCCCTCTCTCGTGGCGTACGCGCGCGCGCGTGCACCGTGTGTTTTTCGCTCGCTTGGGCATCCCCGGGAGTTGTCTCGGAAGGTGGTCTCTCTCGCGCTCCGAAGGAACAAAAAAAAAAAAAAATCGTGCAAAGTGGATTTTGAGAGAAAACAAACGAAAAATCTTGCCCGCGGGCTCGCGATATCTCTGCTTTTCATTCCGACAACTTCTCCACCGGGAGCGCGACAGCTTCCACGCGGAGTTAGTAACGGAGTAATCCGAAAACACACACGGACGTGTTTCTCACGAAACGTGGATAATATCGCTGTAAGTCAAAAAGAAATTTAATGGGAAGGAGCGCGCAATATCTTCTCTCGCGAGAAAAGATCGCAAGTAATTAGCAATTAATTTTTGCCCGGCCGCAGATTTGTCGGAGATACAGCCCCAAAAAATATGAGGAAAGTACTTTTAACGGGGTAATATATTTTGCGGCGCGTAACCAACTATTTTTTTTTCTTTTTTTTTTTTTTTGGCTCGAAATGTTTAATTCTACTCGCCAGATTTCTCTGAATTTCTTGAAACTTTGTTCCTTTTCAACTTTAAATATGGACGCAAAAAAAAACTCGAATAATGTTTAAATAAAACTAAAAAAGTAAAACCGTCGGATACGAAGATTTTATTTCGAGAGAAGAAATTGGTTTAGTTTTAATTGCGCGCGGCGTTATAAAAAAGAGAGAAACATTCTTGCTTATCAATTTATTCGATTGTGATTTCCTCTTTCATGAAATCTATTCTCTATAATCTCGAAAATATCAGATCGTGGAAGTAACGTCCCCGACATATCACCCTCGTACCAGTCGCGACACGCCTTACCTATCATCAACTCGTGAACGAAGTTTTCGTGAAAAATAGCACTTTTATCTAATCCGCGCCCGTTCATCGCGTCACTCCCTTTCCCTTGACAGTGCTCTTTTCCCTTTTACACTTCTTCCCTCTTCCGCAGTTTCTCACTCATTTAGTTCGCGCTTTCCCTATTTTTCACTACTCTATTTTCCCTCTTACACTTCCCTCGCGCGCGCACACACACCTCGGCACATCTCGTTTCGCTTCCGCGCATTTTCCACCCTCTCTCGCCGTCCCTTCGCCATAGACTTCGGCGTTGCACTTTTCACCTCGCTTTTGTTTTGTTTTTTTTTTTTTGTTTTTATTTTTCCTTCAGTTTCCCTTTTCTCTTTGTTCTTTCGTGCTACTCCTCTGTCTTCATCGCGAAGTCCCTCGGCCGTGAAACGCGCGTAAGCGAAATACCGCGATACGAAGGCTCGAGCAATTAGCGGGGAAGGTAATTTATCAGACAGCGAGCGTTCGCTTCTTCCCCGGGCGCCGCTGGAAGTAAAGAGGATGTCATTACTCATGCGCGCCGCCCGTAATCTTAATAACGGCTTTGCCCGCCCACTTTATCCGACGAAGGCTCGCGCGAAAGTCCTCGGCCTCTTTTATTCTTTTTATTTTTTTTAATTTTTTTTTTTCCGCAATATTGAGTCGCAATTTCGAGTCGTCGCGGTGCTTGCGAAGCTCTGCGGCGCAATGTCGATCCGAAATCGATATCCAATTATATGTTCCGATGGTGGTGATCATATCGTTTCTGATTCCCGTGCATTTTGGAACTCACGCCGTGTCAGATAATGCTATCTGTGCGGATTCTTTTTTTGTAATTAAAAAAAAAAAAACGTATCAATTTCAAGAAAGAAAGAGTTGCTTAATATAATGTATTTTCCAACCATTTTTTTAAAAGTTTTATTATTATAAAAAAAAGTTAAAGTACTAAAGTTCACAGTTACGTCAATGTTTTCGTTGATGTATAATAATAATAATCTTCATACTCGAGAATATCACAACAAACTTTATATTAATCTCGTATCTCGCATTGTATCATCTCCGGTCTAATGATGATGATGGAAGAATACACATACACACACACACATACACTCATAATGGGATGCACATTATGTTGCAGAGAACGAGTACGAATGTATGGGGCGAATGGATGGGCGTGATGCACGGTGACGAAGTGGAATACGTCTTTGGGCATCCTCTGAACAAGTCTCTGAAATACAATAACGAAGAGCGAGATTTGTCATTGAGAATAATTCACCACTTCTCGGAATTCGCTTATACAGGGTGAGTATATTGTGCAATACGAGTATCACAAATCAAATGCGGTATCAAATGTCGATTAAAATAGCAAGGGGGAGGAACATCACGTGCTTTGAGACTGATTTGAAGTCACGAAGAAAGTAGCGCAAAGATATTTTTGCTTCTTCTCTCTAATATATTATAATACTAGATTATTATAATACTTATTATAATATTTTGTTATTATGTTTTGTGTTAAACACAAGAGAAACAAGAAGAAACTTGTGCGCCATATCTTCTTTATAGTCTCGCGCCCGCCCGTGGAGGATATTAACTTTTATGCGATACGCCGTGTGTTTGTGAAACCCGTGAAGATATACCGTGACTGTTATAGAAACATAATAAAGTTCAATGCCGGCGATATTCCTAGTCTTATTTAAAGCCGTGATATTACGCTTCTCGTGTTTGATACGCGAGGAGAGAAAGAGGGATCAATTTTGTCAAGGACAATGTCTATGTCGCTCTTCATTGGCGACTAGTTTGTGAGAACTTAAGGTCGCAAATTATACATGCAAATGTAAAGATTACCTAACTGTTTGGCAATCTTCGATAGAAACGTGAATTTCGATTTGACGTTACACAAATGGTCTAACGATTTAGATAAAAGTACAATTTTTTTATACGTCGCAATTTTGTGGAATTCGAACCTTTTTTTTTTGTGTGTCAAAAAAGACAAATTTTTTGACACAAATGTCCTCGACGTGCTATCGAGTATTTACTTATCATTAGTATGTGTAAAGAAACAATTAAATAGAAGGTTTTATTTAAATTCTTGAAACAAAACAAATTTTTTTAAATAAAAAATATGCACATACAGCGGAAAATTCTTGTTATAAAAAGTTTTAATTATTTATCAGTTAGTATCTCTAAATTTAATTATGTGTCTTGTATAGATAGATACGTTATTTAATTCATAAATATTCCGATGGTTAAAAAAATGACATGTTTAATAATAAAACGATAACGATGTTATTTTCAATTCATACATATTCTAATATTTAAAACTAATAGATTTAATAAAATGAAAAAATGTGGTGGTGTTTGCACGAAGATTTGTTTTTTATGAAACAAATATTATGACCGAATATATAATTAGTTTTTTTTTTTTTTCACGCGTGGATATATTAGTGCTTAATAATGATACTTAATGGTAAACAAAATTGCGTAGTTTGATCTTACTGAGATGTTTGAAAATGTAAGTTATACGTCTCACACAAACAAGTAACACGCATGCGACGAGTTCGCTGATGTGTGAAACGAGGTTAATTTAAATTCAAATTATAATCGCGGAAAAGAGTAAGTTCGCCGGACACTCGTTCCCAAGCCTCAACTTTCATTTATTAGCATGAGTATGTTAATATTATGTAAATATATATATATATAATATGACCAGTAGGTAATAATTTTTTACAAACGTAATTTTAAATGTTCACAAAATGTGAAACAAAACTAACAACGAAAATTTGATTTTTAAAAACTATCTCTTATTAAATGTACACATTAAAACTTTATACAATTTTATTTAAACAGATTAAAGGTTAAATTCTAATTAAATTTATCAGACATTTAATTATATTTTTTGTTCATAAACACACGAAATGAAAATAGCATAATGAGATTTTAATTTTATTGTGCTTTTGATATTATTTAATTTTCTACGTTTGGGTAAACGTATCATATTATTTCTCTGCACTGCAATATTCTTTATTCAAATGTAACTTATATATTCTGTAATTTTAATATAAAACCTATTAGCGTAGGACAATTGTCAAAATTATAAGATTTAGCGAAATTTTGTTTTTCTTTTTTTAATATTAACGTGATTACCCGTATCTTTCCGTAAAATACGCTTTCATCTGTCAACTTTGTACAAAAAAAAGCACTTTTTTTTGTCGCACGATAGATTTATCGAGATTTAAGGTTATTATGACGTATCGTCCTGTGAGTGGAATATACGTTTTTTTTTATTTCCCTCGATGTGGTCGATCACGACGTATTGCTTTTTACGCGCGCGATATTTGACGTCTTTTTAACTACATATAGCGAACAATAAAAATATACTCAGTAAAAATAGCTCAACTCAACATTAAACAATAATCATATAAGCAGGAAGTACGGATTTTTGGCACTTAAAATAAAATTTTGAGATGGAAATATTTAAATATATTTGAATGTGAAATAAATATTTTTATTTAGTAAAACTTGAGTTTCTACACACACAATATTCAACATTTATGATTTTATTTAATAGAATTTTAGTAGATATATTTAGTCAATTTAACAATTAAAAATGTATACAGAGAATACAGAACGAAAAAAGAATACTGTTTTTTTTAGAAGATCTAATTAATAATTCGACAGCTCAGAAACATCGTAGGTTTTGTTAAAATTTCTCGCGTAAAAGCTTTTTACGTGGAAAAATTGTATTTAAAAAAAATATATATATTTCTCTGAAACATTATGTTATTTGCAGAGCTCTCTTTGAGATACGCTGCTGCGGAAAATTCAATTTTTCGACACACGGTGTGTGCAATAACTACACGCCGTGTCTTATGCTGATATCTCTTGACGACAAACTTACGAAATATACAGCTTTTCTCATCTATCTCGCATATGCTTCCCTTAAATGTCTGTGCTCGCTTCCGACATCTCCCACCAAAGAGAGAGTCCCGCTTCCTGCGCCAGAGACAGAGATTCCATCTCGATTCCGTTTGAAGTCGAACAGTTCTGCATCTAACTTGCCTGCGCCTTCCCCCAGCTCGTTACTCTTCGTTTTCTATCACTTCGCCTTACTTCCTTCCTTCTCCTACATATATCCACCATCACCGCTTTCCACTCTCTTCCTGTCGATCGCTCGGTCCTCCGAGCTCGGTCGATCCGAGACATCCGCAATTTGCAAGGGACGCAAGCCAGCTCTGACCTCTTGAATTATTTTTCAGGAGGCCAACGGCGGACGAGTCCAAGTGGCCGCCTTATACCAGGGACCATCCGATGTACTTTATTTGGGACGCGGACAAGCAGGAAACCTTCGGCAGAGGTCCCCGCACGACAGCCTGCGCGTTTTGGAACGATTTTTTGCCGCGGCTAAAAGGGATACCCGGTACGTGACAACACTCGGCGATATCCTTTTTCTTTTCTTCGTTTCAGATATTCGCGCGCGTGTAACTCGCGCGCGCTGTGACTAATTAATCCTTGACTCATTGAGTTTGCTTTCGACTAGGACTCTCTCGCGGACTACTTGAAGCAAGCGTGCGCGCGCGCGCGCGCTTCTACACACGCGGCAGCTCGCGACCGCGCTTTGTCTAGACGTTTCCGTCCTTGACGCGATGTGCTCGTTATGATTACGCGGGAACAACACCGCGTTGCCGACGAGCACATTCGTCGTGTGACCTTTCGGTCTTTTATTTTATTCCAGATTTTTTTTTTCCTTTTTTGTGCGATGAATCGCATTCAACTGTTTCTCGTCGCAGCATCATTGTCGTTCGTTATAATTGACAATGCCACGTGGTCTGTAAACTCCATTTATCCGTAACCATTGATTGGAGATTTTTCTTATCGAGTTCACGTAAAACTAATCAACGTCCTACTTAACAAAACTCCTCAGCCAGAAGCGTGTAAAAAATTGTTGGTACACATCGTCACGCGAATTACGTGTTTCCCTTTAATCTGATGCGATATGACTTACATTTTGCGAGAAATAATCGCAATAAATTATCTTAATTGCTTTCAACAATTTCGCGCGGTAAAACGTGTCTTAAAAATTTATAATAATTACTAATTAAAAAGAAAGACTCAGCTTATTCACATATTAAATTTCTTTTTAAATGAAAAATTATCTCGAACATTTTTGAAGAATTGATTCACTTAAGAATTATTTGCAAGAACAGAATCGCAACATTTTATTTTTTATCACGGTCTGCAAGATTAATTTAGATAGATTTATTAATTCTTATAGAGATTATCTTGTGCTAATATTTTGATTGAAAAGAAGATTAAAGCGAAGTCGCTCAGAGAATTGCTGCGCTCCGCAAATATTCCGGTCCTATTTCTCTCTACGTAAATATTTTATGCCGGCAACACACACGTGAAACGATCAAATGTGTGTGCATTAAAAGGCAAATCTCTTATCGATTTGCGCGAATCCTTTTCCAATCAGCGTCAAACAGCGATAAAATCGCAAAATTGATATAAACCATATGAGTCCTGAATGGATAATTACGGATAACTTTCCGTTTCGTTAACTTAATATCCGCTTAAAAATTTTCTGCTTGCGCGGTAATTTATTTATTATTCGATCGATAAGTCTCGCGTGTAGCCCGCGCTTACGTATTGACTATTTCATTATATACCGGACGATTGACATTACGTTTACGCGCAAGCGTTTCGTACATTTTGGAAATTCGCAGTCGCAGAGTAACCGGGTTGTTACTGCAAATACCTTCGATGTTTCTGTTTATCCGGAATATATCGGATTAAACAGCAGCGATTGTTTGCCGGCGGAAACAAGCGATTGCGCACATCTGTATTCGTTCCCAATAGTTTTCTGTCTCGCAGTGCCGCACTTGCGCGATAATGGAAAATCCACGCATAATTGAAACCTTCCGCTTTTATAATTGTTGTAACGCCCATAATAATAATAATAATTACGCTCGCGGGCAACGTATTGCAAATTCAATCATATTGAATGCGCGCTATTACATGCTCGATAATCGGTACAAGGTCGATATTGTTAGATATTGTTAGACGTTCGCGAGCAAAAAAAAAAAAAAAAAATAAAGAAAAAAAATATCAAATTTACCAGGAAAAACTTTCATTCTTATAAAAGTTATCGTCGATCTATTTTAATATCGATATACATAGGACGCGCGGCAACATCCCGAGATGTGATGAAGATAACCCTCCATTAAAGGAGATGTACTTCTTTCGAAACTTTAATTTATCTAAAACCGTCGCGATAACAAGATGCGCGACCCAGAGAGAGAAGAGTGTATTATGAACAAAAAAAAAAGAATATTTTAAGATTTAATGAATTTAATTTACATTACATATTGCTTCGTTTTGTGATAAGGGAGAATATGATATATATACATGTTAGAAATTTATGTTCTTTGCGTCGTTTTTACCGTATTTTAAATTTTAGATTAATAATTTATAAAAACAAAAAGAAACCGAGAAAGAAGATGCTGAAATTTACAATTCTTGAAAGTAAGCGCGACAGAACGAATTTAGCGCGCGCGTTCTTCTCCATTTCATCTCAATTTGTGTCACGCGGAAGAGAGACATTTTAGATGACGTGCCGGTTACTTTTCTTGCGTTTTATCTGTTACGTACATAGCACAGTTTATTATGCAATAAGACAGAGTTTGACGTTGACGTTTCTTATATTTTAAAAGGATTTGTGTGTATGTGTCACGCTATTTACTAAATCTCGAGCGCGCGTATACATAAAATACAATTTAATCTAAGATTTCCTCGTAATATTTTCACGTGATACTTTGTGTCTAAAATTGCTCGATTAATTCGGGAGAGGGTTTTAAATAAAGTTTTTTTTTAACAGATCACTAACACTAATCAGAGCAGAACTTATATTTAAAAAGTCTGTTATATTCTTTGCACACAAAAAACTTCGCTTAAGTTTCCGATACAGCGTAGATATACTTCGGCTACGCTTTTGCAAATTCAACGTGTTCTACATTGATTTTGTGATTTGATTTTTTGTTCGCAGACCCCACGCCTGAGGCATGCAAGAGCGCAATGGCGTCGAGCGTTTCTGCGGGTGTCGGCAAGCTGCGTGCTTCATCGACGATCGCGTTCATCCTTCTACTTCCGGTGCTGGCGGTATATAGATTCATATAAGCGGTTAATCACCCATGTCGACAAACCCTTTTCACGGATGGCAGGTGCCCGGTTGGGCAGAAATGCCCGGCATCGGCGCCACCGTCCGTTAAACAGGTCCTATAACGAGCGTTGTTCACGCTTCAAGGTCGCATTAGCGGTCGTCAAACCATTCGTAGATCGATAGGTCGCCGTAGAGATGTATGGCAACTCTGTCGTACCGAGCAGTACGTAGACCGTATTTTCACCGTGTCGTTATGTCACCGGATTAGCACACAAGCCGCGGACATTTGCGTATGATAATCAGATGCGTTTCTTCAGGGCGCGTCGCTTCTAGGTAGCCGATCGATCTATATAATGCTCGCGATTCGCGATCGAACACGCTATATCCTCGACAGAGAGAAAGAGAGAGAGAGAAAGAGAGAGAGAGAGAGAGAGAGAGAGAAGCGAATTTCGGAAAAAAGCCGTCGAATGATCGACGCCAGCAAAATCCGATTTCGACGATTCGCGCTTAAGGCATGCCCAATTCTCCGTGCAGCTTCATTGATCTGATTCCCAGTCCCAGATTATTTCTCGCAATTCTCTTGCAGAATCCTCGCGCTACGAGATTCTTACACCGAACTCATCGTAGATTTGATTGATCGTGCGGAACATTTGGTGCGAGATATGATGCAGGTCTCGACTTAGCTCGCGTGCGATTTTATATTGCGATTCCGCAACAGAACGCGCTGCTTCTGAATTAATCGCTACGGTTTTTACGGCCAATAATCTCGCACACCAGAGATTATTGTCTTTTCTAGAATCTGCTCTTCTGAGAGAGAGAAATCGTTTCGAGAAAATCGAAAAGAGCGAAGATTAAAACGAACGCTCGTAAAAGATTATCGATGGAGGAGAATATAAACAGACAGAGAAAAATACGAACGGTAACTTGTATCGATCTCGCAACATCTTGCGAGAAAATACGCGAGAGATTTGATAAATGGTGTGATCGATGATCGCGCGCTTAGAAATTTCGAAGATTTCGGTTTCACGCGGGAGCATCTCGCGCGAGAGCAAATTTTGATCTATTGCGCGAGCTGCGCAATAAATTCGGTAATATATTTGCAAACGTGAGTCACGATAAGATACTTCCAGATACCAGCTGCGACCGGGTGCGCAACATCTTGTGCGATCACGCATTTGATCTACTAGTTTGCAACACACAGTCGTTTGCTTAAACTCCGACACGACCTGGTCGTGTGCGCACAAGACCAATTTCAGGATAGAAATTAACAGAGAGGGAAATGACAATGTCGATAAACTGTGTAAGCGCGCGCGCGCATAACTGAAGAAAATTAGCCGGCGAGGAAAGACGCGATTTGCTCTAGGTTTATGGTAAACTGAAGAGAGCGAACGATTAATATCGTGTCAATTACTTTTCTCACCGTCAGATCGCGAAAGAGACGCTTTTGAGGAAAATCTTTGAGCATTCGGTGTGTTTCTCAAAGACGACGTCTACATAGACGACATTGTTAAATGGAAGGCGGTGATGCAAAATTATATAATAGACGTATTTATAATCGGAATTAGAACAGAGAGACGTGTTTTGTAAATTAGTTAATAACGGGGAGAGACCAGCTATCTTTATTTGAACACATTGACAATACATATTGACGGCAAAAAAAAAAAAAAAAAGAAAAAAAACGAAATAGCGCAAAGAAAAGAGACTTTCGAAAATAACGGAATACTTTTCAATGAATGCGTAAATTTTGTGCGGCAATTTTTGGGACTACGTCGATAGCGTAATGCGGTTGAAGATTTATTAGGATACAATAAGTGAATATTTATTGTTCGATTCTTATCTAAAAAAAAAAAAAAAAAAAAAAAAACAACAACAAACGTAGATGATATTCTTGACAAAATGGAGTTTATAGAAAAATTTAGAAATAAATCGACAAAAAAAAACATGTGTGGCCAATCTTAAAACAAAAAGAAACAGAAATATCTACTAACTACTTTATTATGTGAATAACTTCTAATCTTTACACCCGTTACGACGAGCTTTTAGCATTCAGCAAACGTGTAGAATAAATGTGAGATTTTATCGTCTTTATCTTTAGTAAGTCCTTTTTGTGAACAACGGAGAGACAATGAGTAACATCTCGCTATTCTATAAACTGAATTAACTTTTAAACGTGTAATAAACCCTGAAGGATTTAAACATAGATAATAGCGCGCGATAATCCGCTACATAATTGTAAAACCTCGTTTCGCACAAGAATCCTGATCGGATTCTTTAAAAAAATTGCCTCTTTAAAAATCATCTCTATTATTAAGATTGACAAAGTCGACGTGATGAGAAACACACACACAAAAAAAAAAAAAAAAAAAAGAGCGAGTGTATAAGATCGCGTCATGCGCGAGATAGCCCACACAAAAGTTTACATTTTCGTCTAACTGCTCAACAACTTCGTAAAGAAATTTTACCGCCGCGCCCTCCATAAACTCTCGTCGAGTACAACGAGTTGCCGTAAAGAGACCCGAGAGAGGGAGAGCGCGAGAAAAGAGAGAGATTAATAAATTCCGAAAAGCAGACCCAACGTGGAAGCCACAAGGCGGAACGCGGATAACAATAAGACGTTAGTTGCAAAATTTTCAATTTCCAAGTAATTAAAATAACGCGCGCGTCTCGCGACAAATGTATTATCTCCGTGAGAAAACGCGTTCTCGCGGGTTAAAATGTAATATTCTCTTCGTGAAAAGATAAACAAACATTCTTCAACTTTGACACTTTGCAAAAGTGAATCGTTTGCGACTCGCCGCCGCGAAACTATCAAAGTCGAAACATTGAATAAAGAAAACTGATTTTCAAAAAGCGAAAACGACGAAAACCGCAAAACGAGACAGAGAACAACGCCGGCAAAAGTGAAATCGATAGTCTCTCCTAGTACGAGACTTTCAATTTTCCAGTAATTAAAACGATTTGTGAGACGGGGGGGAAGGGGAAAGGGAGTGAAGAGAGTGGCGGAGGGGGAAAAGGTAGAAAGCCACTCGCTATTGATCCAATTGACCCAATCACACGACCAAGTCAGGGAAGAGATATCGGCGGTTGAAGAAGCGCTCGTTTGGCATGTATTGTAAACGGTATACACGGGACGAAGAGAAGAGGACACAACCGCAACAACGTCTTTATCAGAGTAACAACGTAGTAGTCGTATCGGAGTCTCGCTGCCTCGATGCTGTCTCACGCTCTCTTTCGAAGATTTCTCTCAGAGAAACGATCATACCGCTACCTCTCGGGATTATGCGTGCGGGGAACACGAAGCGGAGTTATTTTCTCGCTCCGCGAGACTATTTTTCTCAGGAAGGACGCGCGCGTGACATCTACTTGGCTCAATTTCTAGAAAAAAAAAAAAAAAACCAAGCATTGTGCGTCTCTCTTTGAAATTTAATTCAGTTTTCCGAGAAGAAGATACACGGCCGCGTGTTGTCGCGCAAAATTCGATTGTAGTCGTTTCGTCATCACTCGCAAAGTTTGGGAACTCCCGTTCGCGGCAGAATTTCACGCCGATTACGAATCTGATTTCCGCCCTCGTGGAGAGGAAGAGAGAGAGAGAGACCGAAGTGTCCTCGAAGTTAATCTCGCGCGTTCGTTCGGAAAAAGTTCAGAAGTGTGCGTCGCCGACGTTTGGGCGATTTCGTCGACGTGCATTAAGTCTCGCGCGATAACGTCTCGCGGAAAGATGTTGACGAGAAAAGGAAGAGAGGAGAAAGAGGCGAACGCGGTGTGAGACGAGACTCCGAAATCAATCGTTCCGGTTTATCCGTTTTATTGGAGGCGACGCTTCGAACTTCCATCTCGGATAAAATCGCGCGGAGAAGGTAAGTGGTTCCTGATGCAAATGTGCGTTGGGAGGTTTAAAGGTTACGTGAAGACTCTCGTTCTTGTTTAAACATTTTACCGAAACGTAACCAACCTCTTTTTTTTTGTCGTCCGTCTGCCGTTCGCGCGACGACGGAAATCTGTGAATTAGAAAGCGTCGTTAATTAAAAATGAAACAACTCTGCTGTTAAGTCCGAGCGAGTAGTAATTATGCGTCTTCTTATCGCTCGGCGAGAATAACGTCGAAATGAAATATACAGATTGTTGTTGTTTTCTTTAAATGCGTCGCGATAACACGACGCGATCGCGGAAAGAAAAACAAATTAAGTAAGAGACATTTAACGCATACGAGATTGAGAAGTTTGTTTAATAAGTGGTAAATTACGTAAATTTGCGCGTACGTGTAACGTTTTTTAATGGTTCTTTTCAGACAATTATTGATCACGCGATGTTTTCTGGTTTTCAATTTAAAAAACTTAAAAGAAGAACCACACGTTTGCATAGCTCTTTGATGGTTTTTTTTTTATTTGTAAATATTGAGAAATAACTTTCTTAGCTTCGTGTAACGAGAAATTTGTTTTTCTGAATTACTCATTATTTTTGTGTTATTACAATTCTATATACAACAACATCCGTGAAATATATTGTCGTCTACTTATGTTATCAATTTATTATCCTCATGTTTTAATTACACGTTAAACAAACTCGTGCGATTCGAACGACTCACTTGATTAATCATCACTTGATTAATGTACGAAAATAATGGATAAAGGAAACATTATTTTCTCATTTAATGGGAGGAATTAATTTTCAGAGAGCCGCACAGAGATTTATTTAGATATTCTGTGAGTTAATAACATTGAGAGAATCACGCACATGAATAGTTTATTTTTAATGATATTAGATTGATGAGGGAAAAAAAAAATGGTTTTCAGTGAAAGCTGTGTAATTAGTTGCCGCAATCCACACGTAACGCAAAGACATTATCAATAACTGTATATTTTATTACAAAGAAATTGAATAATTAAATAAACAACAAATAATATCTCGAATTTATCGCACGCTTAACACTTTTAGCGCCGATTATATTAAATATATGATAATTTCCGTAATTCACGAATAAAATAGCAATATTTATGATTATACATTAGAGAATTACACTTTGGTAATTGCATATATATTTCTTATAGTAGGCCTATTCTTTATTGAACTCTATATTTAATACAAAAAATAGATATATTTATGATTATACATTACATTGATTTCTCCAAACAGCATTGTAAATGCGCGATACACAATACGTGAATATACATACGTATATATCGGCGAGGAGAAGCAAATATTCGGTGCATAATGCAACGAAATTTAATCGGCGCTCGATGTGTTAATGAATTTCTAACAAAATCGACGTTGCAAAATCAATTATCATTTTGCCAGCAGTCTGAAGAGATTGGCAGATTACGATCGTCGTTTAAAAAAAAAAAAAAGAAAAAGAAAAACGACGAATATAAAAAAACGATTGTTTGCGCAAAATTAACGAAAGATCATTTTACGATGACGTAGCGATTATTGCGCGGGGATCGAATATTAAAATATCTACACAAATATCTCACAAGAGAGAGAGAGAGAAACGATTATCTCGCGCGAGTGGGAGGGCGTGAAGGAGACGCGGCTCGTGAAAGTAAAACAGCGTAGCCCTGTTTGCACGAAATTTTACACCCGGAATTTTAAAGGGGCGATAATACAAACTAGAGACGCGAGAAAAGGTGTCGAGGAATACGTGCGTGTCGATGGAAATGCTGACGTCGAATCGTTAGAAGGCGAGATATATATGAGAGAGAAACCGGGACTCTGGGGTCTTGAAATTCCTGTCGAAGTCACATAGAGAGTACAGCGCGAACGACAGCAACGCGCATCACCGCGTCGTGTAAAATCGACGCGCGCGCGTCACAAAAAAAAAAAAATATATATATATATATATATACATATACACATTATTATTATAAGCGAATAAGAGTTGTACATATATATATAGATATAAAACATAATGAGAGAAACCGGCTATGTTGTATTCAGATTACGTGTGACATTGCGCACGAGAGACAAGAGTTTTAGCTTAGTAGACTTAACCGTTAAGACACCGTTGCAACTTGCGGGTCCGTATAACGCGACCGTAATAGATAGTCGCGACTTCAGCTTTATCTACTAAAGGGATAGAAGATACGCAAGGAAGAAGATAAACGGCTTTTTTTTTTTTTTTTTTTTTTGGTTGCTGCAGCATAATCAGAAGATAAAAGGCTCGCTTCGGTTGAATATCTCTCTACGATTTTCAATCGGAAATTCTCGATCTGTCTCTCTTCTTGCGTTTTGTCGAGGTTTGTCAAGTCTGACGGCCGACACGATGAACACGGTCTCAGCAACGATCGGCCGATTTCTTGCCGAGTCGCGCGACAGGTCCAAACTCGCGAATTGCGCGAAAGTAACTTTAGAAAAAAAAAAAAAAGAAATACCTATATTTGTAAAAAAGAAAAACACTGAAAAGACGTTTGCTCCGTTTGTTTTTTAGTCGATTATTGCGATCTTTGAGTAAGGGATTATAGAAAAACAAAACGTTCAGTAGATTATATATCGCAGTTTCCAAATACAGAAACGTTAGAAACTTTAAAAAAAAAAAATTATTTTTCGCGTGTGATAAGGCATGTTATTATATACATATACGCGGGGAAAGGGGAGGGGGGAGAGAGGGCGCGGCAATTTATATAGACAAAGATTAGATTGTAAGACTCTAAAGTCGACCACATCTCTGGAAGTTAGATAATAGGTTTGCTCTCGTGTGAATCGTCGTATTTAAAAAAAAAACCAAAAAAAAAAAAAAAACAATATGCATAATATACATGTGCCGTACGCGTGTACAGGGTGTTCTACGTATAAAAAATAATAAATATAGCGTGGTTGTTGTGTAGAATTACAAAAGAGAGTAATTAATGTAAGGGAAAAACAGGACAA